ATAGTTTTAAGTAATGTATGCAACTTATTTGGTGTTTTTATTTTCCGTGATCGTTATATTGTAAACGATTTGGTTGGGTATATGTTTTTTTGTTACAGAAATTTGGTGTTTATTTCTTGAATTTTAATTTGAAATCCGACAATATTAGGATTATATGATTATCTATGACGGATTATTATAAGTCGTTTAAAAGAATGAAGATCGAAGTTGAAATTGGGTAGATATTGTGGTGTAATCGATAGTATATATTAACTTGATATTCATCTGCCAATTTGTGATTGTTTTGAGGTATATGTTATGGTGTAATTGTGAGGCTTTTTAAAGTTGATTATGACTATATTATTGTATTTTGGTAGATTATTTGGTGAAATTGATGGTCAATTTTGAGTCATGATTTAACGCCAAAATTCGGTGAATTTTTTTGGTAAATGATTGGGTTTAATTGATAGTGTTTGTTGTAAATGATATAGTGATAAACAATATTGTATATTATGTTTTAAATGAACACCATCATACTTTAGTTTTTATTGGTATATTTTGTTGGTTCAATTGATATATATAATGGTATATGTATTGAAGTACTTGATGATGTAATTCTGACGGTTCAGGTGTATTATTGAAGGTTTTGTTCAGTTGATTATGACGTGTATTATTGATTGTTTTTTGGTTGATTATTTGGTGAAATTGAATGTTTATTATTAGTTCTGTATTAACGCCATATTCAGTGAATTATTGGTGGTAAATAATTAGATGTTTATATATAGGTTTTTAACACCAACATTCTTTAATTATTTGGTATATTTTGATGATGTAATTGATGTATTTATTGGTACATACAATGACGTAATTGTTAGATTTTAGGTATATCCATAGAAAGTTTACAAAAGAAATAATAAATTGGTTATATTATATGATTAGCATTTTCATATAAGCAAAAACAATTCTGTAAACCGATATGTTTAATTTGAATACATTGAAATAACCATTCTATTTGTATGTGATATATGTGATGATACTTATTTAATAAATTCACTAATTATTATGAAGATTAACTAACAATACGTTGTAATCTAATACAGGTAAGTACATTGATTACAATAATGAAGGAGTGATATATGATGCAAACACCAAATATGAAGGCTTAATTACTACTATTGCTTCCCAATTGGGTGTAGACACGATAATTTTTCATTTAGAACTCAAATATATTGATATGGGTGTCCAAATTTATTTAGATGTTGAATGATAGTTGCACTTTTATCAAACATTGATTAGTGTTGAACGACTTATTCGTATTATTGGTGAGTTAATTGTAATACAAGTTGGTGTTAGAATGTGTGATTTTCAAATTGTTGGATCTATATTCAAAATTAATTGGTTAGTTCTTGACTATTGGTGTAATTATCGTTGTAATGTTGGTGAGTTCATGTTAGGTTAATATAGTGTTGTTTTCTTGATGACAAATGCAACAACATGTTCATAATAATTGGTGCTAATTATTATGGCTGAATGTTGGTATTATATACGAACCTATCACATTGAATTCTAAACGACCAAATATACTTAAAAAGGGTAGTTTGATACCACAATAAAACACAACATTTTGACACATATATACCAAAACAATTAAAGCATTCTTCATTCATTTGAATACAATATCGTAATTATGTAATATTGATGTAATAAGCACATACACAATTAGTCTAATAGTGGTATAATAAGCACACATATTCATAGTAATATTGATATAATAAGCAAAACGTTAACAATGGTGAAAAGTATGGTGAAAGGGATCGTGAACCGTATGAACTGAAGGAAGGCCAATGGTTAAAAATATGAAGATGGACAGAAGGAAAGAGAACAAAAATACCAACACAATACTTCACTACCATATTCAACACCATATCCACACCTCCATCTATTAAAATAGATAAATTATTAACAAGAAATACACCACAATTACTATAAAGTATAAACACACTATTGGCTTTCACAGTTCAACTATAATTTTTACTTGGAGCGAAATTTAATTATTTTTTTGAGCAAGTTATTTATTGGTTAAAAATACACCAAACTTAACCCACAATGTACACTATTTAATAATATACTTATTTTAAAACTAAAATTATAAAATGGGTGTTTTGAGTGTAATGATTTATAATAGAATGAAATTTGATTATATTTTAGTGTAAGTTATTCATTATGATTTTAAAAAAATGATTATCAATATTTGTTCAAAATGTATGTCATTTAATATATAATTTCTTTTTTAAACTAAAATATATGAAATTGGATAGAAGTAACAGAACTCTGCGCAACAACAAAAAAATTGAATTGAAGAGGGAGAAAAAAAGTTTTTATTTCAATAGTAATCGTATCAAATAAGGAAGGTAAGTAATCGTAGGAATCCTATTAACAAGGTCACTCCCAAAAAATTAACATCAAAAAAATATAAAAGTCAACCAATAAATGTGTCCATTTAAATAAGAATCGAAGAGAGAGATTTATTTTTTTACATTAGTAATTTTATATCAATTGGGATTGTATAGAAAATTGATAACATAAAAAGTTTTACTTTTACATAGATAGTATAAAAAAAGGAAGAAAAATAAAATATGATATAAAAGAAAGTACAATTATCATAAAATATGAGAGAATAAATCACAGTAACTGTGAAGTTGGAACTGTAATTGAAGAGATAAAAACAGAAAAAAATTAATATCATAATCATCATCCCCACAAATTAGGCCCATAATCCCAAAAGTAGGAGAGAAGAAAATTGAAAATAAATAATTAATTTTAATATCGTGTGTATGTGTTTGTGGTATATGTTTTGGTGTAGTTAAATTACTAGTTATTTTTACATAGGTAAAAATAATTTTAGGGGATGTGAGATGAGAGAAGGTTATAATTATTTGATTGAATAAAAAAAATAAAAGAGAGAAAATTAATATATGTACAAAATAGGTAACTATCTGACTAAAATTGTGATTAAAAAGACAATAATTACCATATATTGATGTTGTTAAATTACTGATTATTTTTACATAGGTAAAAATAATTTTATGGGATGTGAGATACGTTATACATATTTGCCTAGTTAGTGGGAAGAGAGATGACTCTTTTTTACATAAATAGGACAAGTATTAAAGAGATGAGAGAAGGTTATAATTATTTAACTGAATAAAAAAAAATAAGAGAGAAAAAATTAATATATGTACAAAATAGGTAACTATATGACTAAAATTGTGGTTGAAAAGATAAAAAATAATTGCCATAATTATCGTTTCCATTAAAACCGCCCATAACCCCAAAAAAGGAAAAAGAATATTGATAAATAAATTATATAAATAAATTTCAAAAATATTTATTTTTGTTATGTTTGTAATTTAAAAACTAGTTTTGTAATTAAAAAGTAGTATGTACATATATTGTTAATTAAGGTCTTAAATAGTATATTCTTGTATTTTTTTTCCCAAAATAATGACGAATTGCTAAAATAAATCTCATTTTTATTTGATAAAATGAAAGCGGCAATAAATTCTTTGGGCCTAATTTCTATTTTATCATTATTGGCATCTAAATCAATACAAAGAGCACCGTCATGACCCGTTCATCTTTAAGAGATAACAACTAACGAATAAAAATAAAATAAAATCACCAATTAAAACTATCTCCATTCATTAAATAGAGATATAACACTTAACCCAATATCCATTTCAATAAAATTATGAATAAAACAAAACTATAAAAAAACTTATCGCATAATTACATCAAATTTCATAAATAAATGAAAGAGATAAGGTAAAGTTTAACCTCAAATGAAGAAAATAAGTACCACAAAATCTTGACCGAAGCTTGGTTAGAACACTCACAAAATCTTTTTTGTTCGTGAGCCTTTTGTAGGTTGTATGAGGTAATATATGTATTGTGTTGGTATGAAAATACTGAGAAAGGAAGAAAAAATGTGAATGTGTTGATGACTTTTTGAAAGAAGAATAAAATAAAATATGAGTGTCTTCTTTTTTGGGTTGCTCCGTCTATTGTATGGGGTTGCTGCCTATATTTTTTTTTTGGTATAATACATAAATATACCCTTTAACCTGGCTTCAGATGACATCCATGCCCTCCAATTTTGAGTTTGCATAAGCAGACATTTAAACTTGTATAAAATTGAACAAGTAGACACATGTGTCCTATGTGACATAATACACGTAGGACACTACATAAGATACAAAATTGCCATATACGACGCCATGTAGGACAAATGTGTCTGTTTGTTTAAGTGTCTACTTGTGCACACCCAAAGTTAAAGGTCATAATTGCCAGCTGAAACCAAGTTAAGGGTCATGTTTATGTATCATACCTATTTTTGCATATGTGTGTAGATGTATGTTATGTAGATAGGCAAGGATAAATAGGGGGGAAGGGGGTGGGACGTACAAGTGGGTATGTGTGGTGTGTAGTGGAATTACGGTAATGGGGTGTGGTGGGTATGTGCAGGCAGGAGGGTTGTGTATAGGTAGTTTTTATGTTTTTTTTTTGTTTAAAAAACATTAGCTAATCTAAAAATATAATTAAAAAACACTAGCTTATTTATTAAATCTAAAATATAAAAAGAACATATGCGCAAGCAGCTAATTTGGTTAGTGTGTTTGCATAGATGGATCAGGAGATTTGGCTATGCAAATGCCAGTGTTCCATCCCGCGTGAGTGCTACGTCCTTCAAGGTGGATGCAAGAGACCATGTTTCATAATTTTACTGTTGATGATCCTCATCAGCATTTGAAGAACTTTGTAAGGGTTGCACAATGCACAAGCAAGCTAAATTTTCATTAACCATTGACATATGCGCCATTTTGTTTATTTACAACATATTCTCTACAAAATCACAAGACATTTCGTTTTGGAAGGGAGAAAACATTCCTCCCAAGTATTATGTCATCTAGAATTGCAGCAGCAACATACGAAGTAACAATAAAAGAAACTACTAATTTCCAGATAAAAAATTGACATTCAACTCCAACACTGAGTTTTATCCATTTCTTTGTGTCTAGTTCTGATATTTTCCTCTAATCTTTTGGCGGAAACTGGGGGAACAGGGCAGGAGGTGGGGAGGAAGAAAAGCATACATCAAATATAATAAGCTCGTTATACATGATATATTCATGTAATCTTAATCCGGACTTCAAAAGAAGTGAATAGATGAAGTAGATGATATCTCCAGCTGCTCCAACTTTTGGCTTGAGATGTGTATTAGGTCCCAGGCTACTCTGTAACAAGCATTTCCATATTATCGATGGGAGCCGGAAGCTGTAAAAATGAGAGACCAGTCAGTTTGAAATATCAAATCCTAACAAGAAGATAAATTTCAGACCAGTATGAAGGTGTTTTTATTTTTTCCAATATACAGTGAAAAGAATTGAAAGAGTAAAATATCAACCCAACAGAGCTCATCCCAGAGTTCAATATCTACTAAACAAAGTAGATAGCAGTGTCTCCAGGAGGTGTAGCCATTGTTTTAACATTCCAATCGTCCTCTTATAACTTAAGGTGTTATCAATAACAAAGGAAGCTATCACCTATGACCTAACCATCATATAGATAATAACTACCAATAGTAAACTGAACCAAAACAATTTCTGCATAATCAATTTATAATAGAATTTAACAGTCGAAAACTGAGCTTGTTACAAGTCATAACACCTAGGAGCTTTCCTATATCACAATATGATTCTTTTGATTTGAACGGTAAAACTCTTGCGAATATGATTCAATAGGATGAGGAATTGCTATAGTTGGCCTTTGGAACCAAAAAAGGTGAGGGTTAGACATCTCATCAGGAAGCACTAATTCAGTAAAGTTGATAAAGCTTTGTAAAGATAAATCTCATCAAGTACCATGTGTATAACGTGTTTTCATCCTCCCTTCAGGAAGTACAATCGAAGTGGTATTTGAACTAGAAGTAGGTTCAAACCAACAAGAGATTATGCTACAATTGCACCGAGGTCTTATCACCATTCATGGCTATAAGTACTACAATGTCAAAGAAAATTTACTTTGTTTCCTTGTCTACTTTCACTCAACACACTTTACCATCATCTCATTAGAAAAGGAAAAAACCTGTTAGTTCTCTGGTTAAAGGGTCAATATTATTGAGCACAAATCTAAAAGTTCCACTAGCTTTTTGTGCCCTCCGTCACCTTCTTCAACTGCTCCAGCTACTGAACTCCCTGTAACCTCACCAATATCCCGCTGTGAAGCCCAGCAAATCACAATGCCCAAGCCCCCTCATGGATGATCAACAGATTACAGGGAGTTCCAATAGGTATGAGAAATTGCAGACAAGGGATGAAAGTGTATGGAGGGAAGTAAAAGCTACAAAGTCTCAACAATTTTGTTTATTTTGGTTGACCTAGTTTCTGGAGCTAAATTAGATCATTTTGGACAACTTGAAGATTGTATGAGCTGAGCTTAACAATAGATAAATTAAACATCAAAATCAGCTGAAAACTTGGTTTAAAAAACCACAAGAATGCCATTAGCCAAGCTCCTTTCCTTTTATCATAAGCTTGCAACAATTTTTTTGGAACTTACATATCTTTTTGGGAGGAGAATTGGATTGGTCATGGACCGTTAAAACAAATATATCCAGACATTTACAACTTATGCCAACAACATGTTGCAACAGTGGCTGAATTATGGTCTGAGCAGGGACGGAGCATACCTTCAGAAGGTTTATAAATGATTGGGAATTGGGAATAACTGAATTATATAGTACCTTATCTCAGTTCAAAGCCACTACTGGAGATAAGTTGGGAATGGCAAAGGAATAAACAATTTTTCTGTGAGAGATGCATACAGGGAACAGAACTTGTCCAAGAATCAACTGTGTTGCTGCCATGGAAGGTGATCTGGAGAGTCCAAGATTCCGTTTCAAAGTAGCATGCTTTACATCGCTGGGTGGCCAAAGAAGCAGTATTGACATGGGATAATTTGAAAAGAATGGGGTACCAGCTATGCTCCAGATGTTACTCAGGTGGAGAACAGACAAAGACAACCAACCATATCTTTTTACATTGTAAGTGACAGATCAGATAAGGAAAATCTTCATCAACCTAAGGTGAATCAGGTGGGTGATGCCAGGTAGCACAAGGGAAGTACTAAACAGTAGGAGCAGAGATGGTGTAACACCCCAGAAGTTCTAAAGTTATATGTCAGTTATTAGTATCTCCCATAGTCCAGTCTCAGATGTTGCATGACCTTCTAGTCAGTTATGTCAGTTTTCAGCATTTATCAATTACACGTTTTACTACTCGGTCATTGCATTAGTCCAAGTTATTCAGCTCAGCACTTCAGACTTATCATGTTCAATTAATAGTCTTATCATGCATATTTCACATACTCAGTACATTCAAAGTACTGAACGCATACTCTTCGCACTATATTGTCCTATAATATAGGTTCGGACGTTTAGCGTCCAACCCACGATTAGTACGACTTTCGATCAGCTCAGCAACACGTATGGTGAGTCCTCATCTTTCGAGGACAACTTCATATTTCTTTCAATTATTAAATCCTTTAGTCTTAAGACAGTTAGAGTTAGTTGTGGGCTTGTCCTAGTAACTCATCTTAGTAGAGGTTTTGTGATATACATGTCAGCTTTGTGTTGTTTTCAGATGAACTCGCTTTTGAGTATTTAAATTTTATATTTCAGACTACTCTGTTATTTCAGTTTAGGTTCCGCATTCATTTGTTCTCAATTATTGTTTACATAAATCATAGTGTCATGCCAAACCATGAGTTAGTTTGGGGTCACTTGTGGCTCTAAGCACCATGTTATGACTAAGGGTAGTCTTGGGTCATGACAAACTTGGTATCATAGAGTGTGTCATGACTATTTAGGTTCAAGTGTCCTAGAGTGTCTGAAAGTCGCGTTAAGTAGAGTCTTGTTCATGGGTGTAAAGCGCAGCACACTTATGAACGAGAGCCTATGAGTCGTTTCAGGAAATAGTTCAATTCTTTCATACTCTCAATCGTGCGATAGAGTTTAACTCTATTTAACCTCCTGTTTTAATTCGTGCTCATTGCGTTTAACAGAATTATGCCTCCCAGAAGAGCTTACGTTAGAAGGATCAGGAATGAAGGTCAGCAAGCACCACCAGCTCGAGCAGACCCCTTGAATGAGCAAGTCTCTCATGCCAAGTTCAGGGATGCTTTCCAAGTGTTAGCTCAGGCCATGACCACTCTGGTCAATCAATAGGCTATTGCACAAGCTAACCAGAATGGGAATACGACAGCGGCTAGGGTTCGGGATTTTACTAGGATTAATCCTCCTGAGTTTTATATTCAAAGGTGAAGGAGGACCCACAGGAGTTCATTGATGGTGTTCAGAATATCGCACAGATTATGGGGGTCATCCTAGTGGAGAGTGCATACTTAGCTGCTTACCCGTTGAAAGGAGCGGCTCAGATTTGGTACAAGTAGTGGAAGGATGACAGAGGGGTTGATGCAGGCCTAATGGACTGGGAGAAGCTTATGGCTGCATTTCTGAATAGGTTCTTTCCACTTGAGCTAAGGGAGGCCATGAAGCAACGAAATATGTCGGTGAGGGAGTATTCCTTGAAGTTTACCCAACTCTCCAAGTATTTTGCATCTATGGTAGCAGACTCCAGAGCTTGTATGAGCAAGTTTGTTTCAAGTGTTGAAGAGACCATAGTAAAGGAGTATAGAACTGCTATGCTGATCAAGGAGATGAACATCTCCAGGTTGATGACCCATGCTCAACTGATTGAGCAAGAGAAGGTCAAGGAGAGTGCTAGGGAGAATAAGAGGGCCAGAATAGACAGTATGGACTAGTCACCGTAGAAGTCTGACGGTGGCAATCGCTCTCAGTTTTGTCAGAAGTTTTCAGGTCCAGCCCCATCCTCTGCTAGTGCCCCAGAACCCAAGTTCAGACATGAGAACAAGGATAGGGCACCAGGCTCTAAGTCCCAGGGTAGTGTCACTAGTGGTCGTACCTTTCTAGTTTGTCAGAAGTATCGTAAGAACCATCCCTGAGGGAGTATGGCTGGTAGTGGTAACTGTTTTGGATGTGGTAAGTCAGGCAACAGGTTGAGGGAATGCCCAAGGCATAAGGTAGGGGTAAGGATGTTCTCCAGCAAGCTCAGCCTAACACTTCAGCAGCCGACTCAACGGAGTGCCTCTTCTAGTGCGGGGGGCAGACAACACCAGTACATGTTCTATGCTTTGCAGACTCAACAGGATGAAGAAGATTCCCTGATGTAATCACAGGTATGTTGCGTGTATTTCAACTTGATGTTTATGCATTACTAGATCTAGGGGCCACACTTCCTTTCATGACTCCTTATATTGCATTGAATTTTGATGTCAGTCCCGAAATCTTATCAGTGGGTTCTCAGTCTACCCCTGTTGGTGAGTCAGAAATTGCCAAGTCTCATTTTTCGCAGAAAGTCACCATAGTAGATCTAGTAGAATTAGACATGCCTGATTTCGATATTATTCTTGGCATGGACTGGTTATATCTTGTTATCAGAGGTTGACCCACATGCAGCCATGAGGGTGCACGTGCACCGGACAACTTTTAATTATTTTTTGTAGATATATGTATAGATAGTCTATAGAAAGATCATATATTTAATTGTGCACCCAAATGAACAAAAGTAATTTGGGTGCACTGGTTGAACGCTTAACTTTAACACTCAACGACGTGAGTTCGAATCCTGCGAAGGGTTGTATATTTTTTGCCTTTAAAATCAGCCTTTTCTTACCAGTTAACCTTTTTAAAAACAGCCTTTATTAATCAATCATATTTGCCACCTCATTTGACCCCACCAATATTTTGCTATCTCATCTGGCCCCACCCCTTTCTTCATTGAAATTAAAAACAAATAAAAGCCCTAACACAATTCTAAACAAAATATAAGACTTCTAGAAAACCTACGAACTTATAACTTAACAAGTATTCTTCACTACAGTCTGCATAATTGAAGTCATACTATTGTCACTGCATAAATTGGCAAGTTCTTCTTTTTAAGCGTATTTTTTTGTGCTATGAAAGAAGAGGTGTGATTCCCTTATTAAAAATGTCGTGTTTATTTATAAGTTTATATTTTTATCATCTTATGAAAGGAGGAGTGTGATTCCTCCATTATATTTAATTTTTGTTGTTCTATAAAGGGTGTGATTTTTCAATATCTTGTTGAAATAATCATGTTTATATATTTATTTTGTGAGCGGTGTGATTTCTCTATTATATTTTATTTTTGTTGTGTTGCGAAAGTAGGGCTGGA